CAGGAATGGGATGGGGGCTCGAGGCCCTGGGGGACAGGGCTGGTGGCGATGGGAGTGACATGCGGCAGCACGCACCTTGGATAGTGGCCAAAGGGTTGTTGCTCATGAGGGCTGGACTCAGCCCGGAGCTCAACCCCACCATTGTGCTTCTGCAAGAGGCAAAGCAGAGGCATTAGCAGGGGCAGAGACCCTCCCACAGAACTGGGGGCGCAGCTCCCCACCCTGGAAGCAGCAGTGACCCTGCTTCTCCCCACAGCCTCCTACCTGCAGCTGCCCACTTACCCCGTGCTGGGGTTCAGGCCCGACAAGCCGATAGCCGAGTGGCTGCCTTGAGGGCTGGGATTTGTGCTGTTGGTGGTGGCCGGGGGGGGGGGAGTGACAGAGGGGATGGAATTGAGGGGGGGCGCGGCCCCACCCCCGGCCCCACCCCCTCCAGCTGTCCGGCTGGGGTGGAGGGTCCCCACAGCTGAGGATAAGGTAGTAACTGCCAGAGAGAGACAGAGAGATGGAGACTTCAGCTTCCACTCGCCCTCCACTGAGGTCGACTCCTGCTGTCTTCCCTGCCCCGTCCCGCAGCATCTCAGTCAGAACACACTCAGGCCTCCTGCCCTTTCTTCTCACAGCCATTTCTTTGTGCCTCTGCCACGGTGACAGTAATCGCAGTAAGAGCAGCTGCCACCCACCGAGCCTGTGCCCTATGCCAGGAGCGTGCTCACACCCTGCTTATCCAGCCCTGAATCTCACCTCTGGGCCCCTCTGTACAAAGAACCAAGGGTTCCCAGAAGACAGCGCCCTATGGCTCCCTCTAGAGGCCAGGCACGGGCATGTGGCTGTGCACACTGAGGCTGAGGGCTCTGAGCCCAGACTGAGACCAGACACCCAGGACAGCAATTCCTGGCTCTGTGACATCCCAGCTGTGCCCTCAGGTAAGCACATTCATCTCTCTGGCCTTCAGTTCCCTCATCTGGAAAATGGGGCAGATAATAGAACCTATCTTATAAAATGGGTGTGAAGATTAAGGGGGTCAATATTCTTTATAAAGAGTTTAGACCAGTGCCAGGCACACCCTTATTACTTTATAAACTTCCACTTATTATTTCTAAACCCGGGGAGGGGAAATATGGCGTCTGTTTTTATATTATTCTTACATATGGTGTTATACATGCCCTACCCCAGGAAGGGGCAAAGGAGGGCTTTGGGTACAAAAGTGTGTGTGTGTGTGTGTGTGTGTGTGTGTGTGTGTGTGTGTGTGTACACACACACACACACACACATACACACCCTTCTGTGTATATATTCATGGATATAGCTTCTGTATGTATGTTATATTCACAATAATTTTATAACTAAGGCTCAGAGAAGTAAGGTCACTTCTGGAGTTCACACAGTTCATAAATGCCATAAAAAGAACCCAAATAAAAAGAGAACCTTTATCAACCCCGTGCTCTTCTCACATGAAATCATGGAGCAGATGAAGCCTGAGCTGCTCTGGCAGGGAGGGGTGAGGCTGCCCTCTCCCCTTCCCTGCCCCGCCCCCCGACCTCCAGGCTCAGCCTTGAGGCCTAGGGGTGCCC